TCTTTCCCTCGTTTCACCTTAGCTTAAAAATGTCCCACTTTCACCTCAACAAAACCTTTTGGGTGTTTCTCACATCTCTTATTTGTTCATTCCTTGATCATCGCTCGACCCGGAAGTTGCTCCGGTCTGAGGATCAAGAACATTCCAGGTCTCTTACATCGGCTCTGAGGAGTGAGGAGGCTGCTGGAGAGTGAGGGTTCATGAGACCCCCCTCACTCCAGACTTTATTAACTGACACATCACTTGATCAGAAAACATTTGATGAATGGAAGCTTCAAATGAAAGATCAGAGCAACGGACATCTGATGTTGTTAGTAATGTGTTTCCCTCTCTCCTCATGTTTTCCTTGTGTTTTTTCCACCCATCTTACCTGGGCTGGACTAAGACACAAGGAAAATGAGTGAAATGATAAAGAGACTTATGAAACTAAATGGCTTGTGGGTTGAGCAAAGATCTAGGATCATATAGAGACATGAGAAACACCCCTTGTATTTACCTGAGCAGACTTCCTTCAGAGCTCCTCCTGCCTCTCTTCTTCTTCGTTGCAGGTGAAGGAGTTCCCTGTGGGGAGGGTGTGTCACTTCCTTTGCTCCTCGCCGACAGCCTCAGGTTCTTCCCCAGCTTTCCCAGGTTCTTCAGCGGGGACTTGAACTTCAGCGATCCCTTCCCCGAACCTCCTCCTCTGCTTCCCTTTTTCCCCTCATTGGCCTCGTTCTCGTCCTCCTCATCCTCGAACGGGTTGCGGTCCCTCGACACGTTGTCATCCAGGAGCGAGCTGCCAGGTGACCAGTGGTTACCATGGCCTCCGTTGCCATGGATACTGTCTTCGTCATTGTCAAAGGGGCTATGATGACGGGGGTTGATGTTGAGGCTCATCCTGCGCAAGATGAAAGCGTTGTCTAGGGTCGGACCACCGCCTTTCAGGCGAACTGGGAGGTTTTTGAGGATGGGCATGATGGAGCTGGAGAAGGGGGAACAGGGAGGGAGGAACCTGGGGAGGGAGGGAAGAGAACTCAATCACCAGTGGAACATCTGGTCTGAAGCAGGTTAAAACAACAGTGGATGTTCAGGTATAAAATACCGTCCTGCAGCCCCGGAGGCCAGCCCTACCCAGAGTCTACAACATCCAACAGCTGATATCTGTGTTTAAACTCATCAATTTTCTTACTGTCCACACTTAAATTATTCCATAGTTTTACTCCACTTATGGAAATACAGAATCTTTTTTTGTTCATTTGGCCTCATTAAATTAAACCAAAAAAGGGTTAAATACATGGGTCGGCGTGTAAGGACACAGATCACAGTGATCACATCTGCTGGGATCCTGTAAAAGGTCATTGTCGATCTGCAGAGGAGCTGTGGAAATGGAACCCTAGCATTAAAATGAACAAAAAGTAAGAAACCAATACAGCAATAAATTCATTACCTGAATAATAAACCCTTCATTAAATGTCAGAGCAAAGTGAATCGGTCCAAAAGCTGCTTACATGAGAGCTCTCATCACTGTCAGCCAACAAAAACTTCACACTCAATCTTCTGAAATCAGTCTCCACCTGGGAACTGTACTTTTTCATACATAACATTTCCAAAGTCAACAATTTTAACATTTAGGTTTCAGTCGCTGGAGCTTTTGGCTTCACAACTTTCTTTAAAAAAAGTTTATAAACTCAAGTATAAACTGCTCGTTGACAATTTAAAACAGAAGGTTAGACAGTGAAGATCTGTCGGGACATGATAAATTATGATTTAAATTAAAGTGTCTCACTGACCAGATATTTGCTTTTTACCACCAGGCTTGAATTCATTATGTTTAAATGCACTGTGTGGCTCAGTGGGTCATTGAACCTGTGATTCACCATCCAGCTCTCTGGTTGCTCGCTCACTGCTCAGCAACAGCGTCTGTCTCACACACACCTGAGGAACACGCACACCTGCTGGGCCAGTGTTTCATCCTGTTGTTTGTCTCCGAGCTGCTGATAAGGCTCGACCCTACCGGAGGCAGTCAGCTCCACTCTGACAGCTGCACAGATAACACACAGGTCAGGACTGAAGACAGTGCCATGATTTATGGTCGCCATGGAAACACATCCTTCGGTTCAGCTCAGGTAGAGGACAGAGGAGACGTCAGAATTTAGTTTTCTATTTTCTGTTTGGGAGTTTAAACCTGGTCATGAAGCGTTGGTTGCAGAAGTCCAGCCCCATGCTCAAACCCAGATGAGCTTTTCTGACCTGTGCAGTGATTAGGGCCGGGTTTTAAAATGAGATCTTACAATTAATCACAACTTTTATTTGAATGATCCTGTATCAATTCTTAAAATCCACTGTCTGATCTTTGCATTTGCACATTTTCTCCATTAACATGCAGCCTACATCTGCTCACTGGAATGTAGAAAAGATCTGAGTTCCAGGGCTAAATTCTGAGAAACATTATCTGATGTTCCTGAATCATCAGCGATATCCGGTTGATATACGGCCTGAGGAGGGACTGCGAAGAAACTGCTGCTTCTCTCTGTGGAGAGGGGATGTGCACTGACACTGTCAGGTCATATTCTGCATTCAAGTCACAGATCAAGGTGTACCAACCTACAGGTAACCATAGCAACACTCCTGACGCTGGACCACTAATGCTGCAAACATGGAGGAGGATTTACAATAAACTCCCCTGGTCAGTGAACACAACCTGGCACACTGTGTATCATCAGATCAGGCCAAAAGGATGTCGGGCCTTGCCCAGTTATAAAGCAGCTGCTGTCCCTGGTTCCCAGAGTCATGAACCATGAACCATCAAGCTATAAACTGGTCAAACATTAACATGGTCTTATCGAGCAGAGATCAGCTCTGGGTCGCTGGGGCCATTCCTGGAAAATGTCTTAATGATTACATACCAACCTACCTGAGGGTCCACTCCTCAGCCGTTATAACAGGTTAATGTGTTACTAGGAATGAGATGACCCGTAAAATGAAGCGTCACCAGACATTTCAACACAGGACTCGTTCTTGTTCCCTTGTCCTGAGTCCCATCCTTCACACAAATATTACATGTTGCACTTGTTTTGTTGATTCCAGAGTGGTTACACTGATCCTCCATATTTGATTACAATGGCATTTTTCTTTCAAACTTTGATAGGTGACAGATATGGTGGGAGAGTGGGACAAAGAAAGAGCAACAACCAGGGTTAACATGGGTTTGGCTGGTTGACATGGAGAGGGTTAAAAGCAGCCAGAGGACTCAGACTGGATCCAGATGTGGCCTTCTTCCTTCTGGACGTGTTAGCATCTAAAGCTAACCTGTTTGTTTTGGTAGCATTAGCCACCTAGCGTGGTCAGGATTTAATACAAGTTTAATTTGGGAGGAACTGGAGCTTTGTGTCTGTCCAGTAGAAAGCTCTGGTTATCTCTAATGTGAAATAGCAAGCTAATGCTAGCTTCAGACTGGAGGCTACATTTTTTTACAGTTTGTCCCAACCAGGCGTCTGCAGTTCACATCGTAGCTTCAGGAAACAGGACGTGATGAGAAAGGCAAAGAGTGGTTATGGTGTGTGTTTGTTTTGAGTCTCACTGGACCCTCTAGGCTGAACACACATCAGGTAAAGCGGGTTTAATGAATTCGGGTTACCAGCTTGCAGCCAGCTCCAGAGTAAACTGGCTATCTGAGCATCCAAACCTTATCTGAAAGCACCAGCGGAAACAGGATGTTGGGCCAAGTAGGCAGAAACCTGCTTCTTGGGCATTTCCAACAGATTAGTAAAACTACTAATTGTGAGACAGAGTCCATTTCTACCCCTACCCCTATGCCCCCCCCCTGCTACTGCTGCCAGAAATAGACACACACAGACACACACACACACACACACACACACACACACACTTTCCATAGGAGGGAACATACTTGCACACACTCACATAAACAGTAACAAAAGACACACACTGGTGCTCAGCATGCAGTGCAAAGTGGGAAGTGATTCAGTGGTGTTGGTTCCATAAATACCCAGCAGCCCTGGCGGTAGGCTCAGGAAACCCATGTGGAGCTCTGCAGCGCTTAAACACAACCTGTTTTCTTCAAGAGGGTCGCAGGGCATCGCGGAAGCTCCCGGACACAAACAATAGGAGCGGAAAGGACAGCAATAGTGTGATGGACGGAGCGCGGGACTCCTGGGTCTCTGCCGCTCACCGCTGGGTGTGGTCCACCCACAGCCTCCACAGTACCAGGACCAAGGTGGTGTTTCCGTCTGATCTCTGCTCTTTAAAGCAGCAGTCAGACCTGAAGTGTTCTTTCTGGCTTTTGACTCCTTACCTGACTCCAAAGGAAAGCTGCACAAGAATTCCTATATGCCTAGACTGTCTGTTTATGCATAAATGGCAAATGTTTCATGGAGCACGCCAAACTGAAACTGGGAGGTGCACTGGTCTGTGAGGTGGGGTTTTGTTTAAACCTCTAAACAAGCACCAAATCAGAGACTGAAAGTTTCCTTACCTGGCTCTGAACAGCAGGCTGAGATAACAAAGCAGAGCTCTGCAGACTTGTCTAGGACAGAGTTACAAAACCTCAGCACAAACATCAGGCTGATGACATCACACACCGTTGGCATGCTTGGCCCGTGTGTTAGCTCACACACACATGCACAAGGTCAACATGAAGGTGAAGGGGTCATGACCTTCCAAAGTCACAAAGCACAAACAGGAAACCAGGAAGAGAAGCAGATATCCAGGGAGACGCAGACACAGGCCTCAGCCTTGACCGGCAGTGCGGGTGAGAGTTGCCGGGTGGGTGCGTTTCATGACGAATGGCTGTTCAGATAATCAGCTGATATGTGTGTGTGCTGCAGGAAACAGCAGGAACAGTCAGTGACTCAAAAATAAAAACAGGAATCATTTAATAACAGGAGCTGACATTGCTCAGACGTCCTGGCATATCGGTCTGCTGTAATATTCGCCCACAGACCTGAACCCATGTAGCTTTGCTCAGGTCGTTGGTTTTAATCATTCCCACTCTGCTGAAGGTCAAAGGCATCGATTTAAAGGATCTGTGCTGTGTTTCCACTGAGAGGACAGGAGGAATTTTTTAATCTGCTGCTAAATTTCTGAAATGAGTAAATGACTAATGAAAGCCGCCTTGATAAAGAACTTTAGTGGTTCCAAAGTCCCGGGACTGATTGCCTTTTCAACAATGGGCAGCTCCACAGTCCACAGGACTGAGTCAACACCATAAAGGAGCTGGGCTGATCAGATGGAAATGTCAAGGCTGCTCCACACATGAGAACAACCTGCTGGGGGTGTGCACACCACCACAGCACACAGTGAACCCAGGCAGCTGACTGGACAGTTCATGGGACACATCCTGCCTCCTACCATCAGTAAACCACGTCCTCGTCTGACCTTAACCAGGCAGTTCATGTGCCCACAGAGGTGACAGGTCAGAACTGTCAGACAGCCCTGTAACACACTGAACAGATTCAGCTTCACCATCCTCGGACACACAACAGCCCCCAGCTGACACAGCCCAACTGGAAGCTGCTGCAGGCCTCAGTTTAACTGCACCTTGCCAAAGGTGGTGTTTATCTGAAGGTTGAGATTGGAAAATATTTTATTTATACATTGTACAGACTATTCAGATCCGTACAGGTCTCTAATTTTAAGCACTATTTTTATTCCTATTTATCTCATTTCACAATGAGTGTTCCTTTGTCTGTCTGCATTGTTTACTGCCTGTTTGTACTGCGTATTTTGTTATAACAGCCTTATGTTGGTTTACTGTTTACTTTGGCATGGGGATATGTACATACACATGGAGAGCCGCTGTACCTGCTACACGCTGTATGTGTCCAACACACCTGGCCAATAAAGCTGATTCTGATTTACATTCTAAGGTCTCCAAATTTTTCATCCTGTGTTTTTCTTTGAAGGCAACACTATCATGTCCTGCGGCAACAGCGACGGGGTCAGTGGAGAGACCAGGACGTTTCAGATGTGGTGGACGTTTGTGGAGAAGGTTCTGATCAGGCCAAACTGGGAGGAACATATCGTGATGCTGACACACACAGATGGGAAGCAGCGACACAACGAGGTCAGAGCTGAGCTTTAGCCCGGGACGAGGAGGCAGCCTCGTACTAATGTATTTGTGGATGAGGGAAAGGCCACACGAGTCCTTCCAGCTGGAGGTGCTGACAAAAAAGGATTCTGTGCTTTAGCTTGTTGTCATCAACTTTATTAAGACCAAGTCATGACAAACCACACTGTCCTTTTCATAGTGTTGAGCTTTGGGTCAGAGCTCCAGTCAGACCTTAGTGGCAGCTGACAGATGTTTACCAGTCAGGACACAGAGTGGACTAACTCAGCGTTCACATCCAGCCAGAACAACATCAGGTTGCGTATGTTTGCCTGCAGGCAGAAGCCAGACAGATGAAAAGTGATGAGGGAGGAACAATGCGGGTACCAGCAAAAGAGCTTCTGACAGAACTCCACTGTCGATTTGACTGATTAAAGACTGTCACATTATCCACTCTGTCTTTCCAGGTACAAGTCTGCACTGCATCTGTCTGTGAGTCCAAGCTGTGGTCTCAGCAGCACATGGGAGGGAAAGCAGCAGCTCAGAACAATGTCATTATCTTTTTCCTAAAGGCAGGAATGTGAGCAGCTCAGGAGGGAGGTCACTGAAAACTAGCTGAGGATTTTCTCTGTGCAATTCCCCACCAACCCTGTCCAGAGACCAGCAGCCCCAGTGAACGTGGTGTGATGTGAGTCCAGACCCTGGTCCAACTCATCGCTCTGTGCTGTAGACCTCCAGTGTTGTCCAAAAGCTATACCCCCCTCCTAAGTGAGCCACACAGCGGTGCTGGGGGCAGGTTTCCTCACTCTGTGGTCTCTGCAGGACCAGACTGTGTCTGTTATGTGCAGACTGATTCACATTGTCCACTAGTATTTCTCCATCTTTACTGACCTTTCATTCTTCATTGGTTTTTATTTTTTGTGTGTATGTGCCTATTGAGCAACGTTAACTGACACTGACACATTCACTTTACTGTTGTGTATGAAAAGCATCAGATCCTCACAGCTGGAACCGACAGATGTGCAGCTTTCTCCTTAACAGCAGCACAATTTCTCTGTGTCTCAGGAAATTAACACATGAAGTCCATAGAAAGTTCCTCCTGTGTCAATCATCAGTGTGCAGAACTCATGTGGGCTGGACCTGGAGGACGTTCTAACGTGGTGGGAGTGGTCGGCACAGAGCCAAACAGCCTTCACAGTGCACAGACTTTGAGATTTGCAGTGAAAGTTCTTATTAAAAAGGTCTAAAAAGATTCAGTCACAGCCGCGTCAGCACCAGGACCATGACTCAGTATGTTGTGGCTATAAACGTGACACGTTATTGTTCCTTAAGCTCAGATGGTTCAGATGGAAGAACATCAAGATCGTGGTGACGTGGTCAAAGGTCAGCTATTAAAACTCTTCATGAAGTTTACAGCAAACAGAGAAGCAGGAAACAGTTTTTATCGACTCTTTCACCATCTGTCAGCAGCAGCCTGATTAACACTGATGACCCGAACATGAGCTGAGCAGCAGCAGGTTGAAGCAAAGCCAAGCAGTTCGCTGCAGTAAAGTCCCGTTTAGCTGAGATGAACCCTGAGCGCAAGTCACCAACATCACAGATGGTTGGCAGTTAAAGGTCAAAGGTCAAACATGTTGCTGTGAGGACAGAGCAGAGTTCAGAGAGAAGCAGAAGTTGTGTGGTTCAACAGGAAGTTGCAAACGGCCCAGTCAGCACGAGGCTGCTGGGAGAGCGGCTCTCTGTTTGGCTTCAGCCGTTTTCTCTGCTTATTCTACTGCGTGATCAAACAAAGGAGGACAAAGCAGAGACAGAAAGAAAGATGGACAGAAAGCAGAGGTGGGAAGTAACTAAGTACATTTACTCAAGTACTGTACTTAAGTACAATTTTTGAGTATTTTCATTTTTTGCTGCTTCATACTTCAACGTCATATCTCAGAGAAAAGTGTTTGTACTTTGTACTCGCTACATTTATTTGATAACTTTAGTTACTAGTTACCTTTCAGAAAGAGGTTAATAAAACAAAATACAGCTTTATTGATCCTTGGTGTAAAACTCACAAGCAGTATTTCATATGATAAACATGTGAAGGCAGGTAAAAGTAGCTACACCAGCTGCACCATTCAATGTGATGTACATGATGATGCGTCAGTCATCATAATCGAACAATATGATGTACGTCAATGTGCCACTTTCCTAATGAGTACTTTTACTTGTGGCACCTAAATGATACTTTCTGCTAATACTTTGGTGCTTTTACTTAAGTAACATCTTGAAAGCAAGAGTTTCACTTGTAAGGGAGTATTTTTCCACTGTGGTACTTTTCCTTAAGTAAACAGTCTGAGTGCTTCGTCCACCACTGATAAAAAGAGGCAGTGACAGTGGATGTAGAGTTTAAATGCCAGACATCCATCCTGAGTGAGCAGACTGTCAGCGAAAGTGGCACGGCACTGTGGCCGAACACGTTGGAGACGCCTCTGTGCAGCCGGACAACCAAGCACCATGTGACCACGGCGACTACCAGAGGTCACTGATCAGCTGTCACCGCTGATCAATCCCATCTGCTTATTAACAACAAAGACCTAAAAACTAGCTTTCAAAAATCGGCCACAACACTGCTGCAGCACATCAGGTCACAGTGTCACAGCCCAACAGTGTCTGTAGTTTCACATGCACTTCCTACGACAACCCGTGTAGATGCTGTTGCGTGAGTGTGAATCTGCAGCAGCTCCTACTGGGAGCTCCTACTGGGAGCTCCTACTGGGAGCTCCTTCTGGGAGCTCCTACTGGGGGCTCTTTATGGGGCGCCCGAGCTCTTACTGGGAGCTCTTACTGGGAGCTCTTACTGGGAGCTCTCAGCAAGTCCTTTATTTGCCCTGGGCCTCATCTGAAGGACCGTTACAACCATAGGCATATAAGGATGGACACTGGATTTCTGGGAAAACAAGACAATGAGGTGAACTGATCCAAAGTAACTCTTTTGCTCAGCTTTTCACTGTAGTGAGAGTGTGTTACTGTTCACTAGGCTAGCACACAGCAGCTGACCACCTCCACTGATCACATGAGCAAACCCTAGAACATCGTGGTGGTCCTTCACAACTCTCCATCACTGACGTTGGGGCACAGTGCAGCCTGACAGATTTTAAAAAACATTTTCTGAGTTGGCTATAACACAGAGCTTTTCTAGATGTTCTTAAATACTACTGTAATTGTGAGACACACAAAACTTCACTTTATTTGGTCCACCGATTGAAAGGTGTTGTTTTGTTTGTATTTACTGCTTCGTGTTCCCCAGTTGTCAAATCAAACATCCACCGCTGACATCATGAAGTCATGTCACAGTCAGTGACACAGGATTAAAACAGCTTTAAGTCTGGTTACTTTAGCATTAACGACACAAATATGTCAAATATTGTCATGTCGGTGAGCAAATTTCAGACACTCGTACACTTGGTTGTCCACAGGGACATCGTGCACCCTCTTCACTGGCTGCGGGTTACTTCCCCTCCAGGTGCACTATGTACCAGAGGGTGTGAGTTCTGAATAAACACAACAGCTGACCTCCTGACCTGCCCCAGCTTCTGTCTGAAACCCCCCCCCTGCAGCCACAAATGCACTGCCTGCACCTCAGAGGTGAATGTGAGCCCTCAACAGGGAGCAGGACCAGCTCTGACCTCGGCTGCCCTTCAAACCTCTGAATCAGTTCACAGAGACAACCAAACAGCTCTGTGATACTCAGTTAATCCCAATGTTTCCACTTTTTCTTCTAACGTGAGAATTTGTTGGCTCTTGATCAGCTTTCCTTGTTGTTCTACCTGTGGCCCTCGGACAGAGGCGCGTCACCTTGAGCCCAGAAAAGGGCACTTTCGTTCATTTCTAACATTTCACTGAACAATAATAGAGACTATGGTCAGGGTGGATCAGTGGAAAGCTCTGAGAGTTTCTCTCGTCACAGAATTCGGAACATCTGAGCAGGACAAACTGGTTCAGTCCCACCATCACAGAACGCATTTTAACAAAACAAAGTGTGACATTTGCAGATTTATAAAAACGAGCAGGCTAAATGAAAGTTGGTGACGCACAGCGTGGACTTACAGCGCAGAGCCATGTTGGCGGAGCAGCGGCTCACTGTGTCATCAGAACCCGGACCGAGGCGACAGCAGCGCGGACACAAAGTCACACTATGACGAGGATACGCGGAGCTCCGAGCAGCCCGAGATCTCCGACTCAACTCAGCCAAGGGACAAGGGAGCACCCGGTCATCCACCGCGCTGCGTTCAGGTGCCGGCGGAAATGTCGGAAGTAAAGTGGGAAGGGCGCAAGAAACGTGCTGATTTATATCAGGGGTCCAGATAGAGTCGGACATTTAAGCTTTTCCTGCTGTGCTTTTTGACTTGACAGTAACAATAAACAATTGAAATCCCCATGAAATACCGTGTTTAAAAATACTTTATCTATAGAGAAGAATGGACAACAAAGGTGTAGTACACTGTAAAACAGCAAATCTTAATGCAGGATGTAAGTTAATAGGCTCTGGCGTTTACATCATAACGACTTCCACCCAGCATGCACCTGGGCTCACCCAGACTCAACCTGACTGCCTGGTCCTACCCCTAGCCTTCGAACCAGGTCTGAGCCCTCAGACAGGCCTCTGGAGGTGTGAGGACCACACAGCCAGACCTGATGGAGTCATTTAATGGAGGTCTGAATGCAGCTGGTGGTTGGTGGCGTGGAAGCCGAGTTCTGCACTTTGGGCTGCAGGATCCACTCAGGCTGTGAAGTCAGCACTGGCACACACTGAGCTGCTTCATTTCATATGAAGGACTTTATGAGAACACTGCACTGACTCATTTTCCTGAAGCTTAACTCAGGTTTTGACTCAGTGATGTAGGATTGTGAGGACCTGCCTTTCACTGTGGTGCCAGTAAAAACTGATGGTTATATTTTGGACTGCTTTTCTTTTTTACCAGGATGAATCTGTTTAGACTGAGGCAGAGAGGTGAGGCAAAGACACAGTGTGAGGTAAAACAGACAGGTGTACACAGCTGATGTATACAGTATGGTACTACTTTGTCCTGTTTACAGTCCTGTAGTGGCTGATCGGTGTTTAACGGTGCGTGTTTTCAGTTAGTCTGGTCAGGAGACGTTAATATCGTTGTTAACAGACATTAACTGGGCTGTTCACACAGGCGACTGAGGGGAGCAGCTCTAGACGGCGGCACGAGACATGTCACAGGTTGTTGTGTAAAGGTCAAGGTGGGAAGTAGATGGAATGTCGGATCCTTGGTTTGGAAAATGACAAACCTTCACAACATCACACTGATGTGCACATGCAGGTAGGGCCAGACACGTTTACATTCAGAGTTTCTGCTTTGTCTTCTAAATCTGTGGAGGTGTCATCTGACCTGATTGTGTGTCAGACATCATAGCTAGTGGGTCAAACCTGAATGCACACATATAAAACTTACTTTTAGACTTCATTACTTCTGCTGCCCCATAAACCTCGATCAGAGGAGAGGAGGCCGCAGAACCTGCCTGAGCATCCTCCTCTTGTTAAGGTCCCTTCAGTGTCACGGTGACAGTAACAGTTGTCTGTACGTGCACGGAGACACTGCATTCAGGAGCTGCTATTATCTGATACGGAATACTTAATCTTTCAACTTGTAAACAAAAAGCACAGGACTGACTGAATCCACTGTAACAACTGCTCCTATAAGTAACAACTATAGCATTGCTCGTCTTGTTTCCCTCCTGTCAAGACACTGACATTAAGAAATATAACAACTTGTATATAGGCCTTTGTCTTCTCACTGCTCCTGATTGTTTTTCTTTAGGCCATTTATTTCCTTGTTTTTGTAAAATGATGATGTATTTATTAGTTTATCCTTTTCTTAAGTGGAGCTCCACATCTGTCACATCTGTTTTATTGTGGTCTGGTTTCAGGCTGTTGTTTAAAACCTAAACTAAACCACGTTGTTGCCACCGGCCTTCACTGTTTAAAGGGTTAATGTCCCCATAAACTGAAGAGTCACACACAGATTAAGGAGCAGCTTTTACCTGGTCTTCTGTTTGTGCACAGTGAAACAATCCTCCAGCTTTTCTCAACACCGGGACATCTCTGCGGCCGCACCGTGTCAGCAGCCGATTGGCCAGCTATCTTTACTCCACAGTGTCAGTCTGCCCTGTTTCTGATGTTTCTGCTGGACTCCAGTGTGCTCCCCTCAGGCCTGATGCTCCAGTGGAGAGTGCTGCTGTCCCCGGGTTGGCTCAGAGCATCAGCTGCAGGTTCTGTCCTCCTCTGTGCTGTTAGTTGCTGTGTTTAACAGGCTCTACTGGGCTCTACTGATTTCTGCTGGGCTCTACTGCCCTCCTCACTGTACTTCTGTACTGGTTTCTGTCCGTCTCCACCCGCTCCTTGTTGAGCTCTCTGGGACTCCTGTGTGTTGTTTCCTGTTTGTTTTATTTTCTAGCAGCACTACACACTGCACTACCCCCAGTTATTTGTCAGATTACCAAACCCACAGAGACGGACTAGAAAGACTGCCACACAGCTGCATCGTGTCTGTGGTTGTTTTTAACTTTGTAATTAAATAGAATCAGCTTCATTATAAATCACACACTGGTGCACAAACTGTGGAACTGAAGGAGGCCAACTCCGACGTCCTGTGTGTGTTTCACCACACAGATTAGAGCAGTTAGACAAAACCAGTGGAAACAGAGTGATGCAGCTGTGTCGTGCATTTACTGCTGCGCGACTCTAGTGTTTGGCGGAAACGCTGCAGGACACCTGTCAGAAACAGCTTGCTGAGGGTTTGATGGTCTTTACTTTATCACTTTGTACCAAACCATAAATAAACTATCAGCAAATAGTTTAATTTCTCACCCATTAGAAATTCCAAGGAAGCAGGAACAGGTCTCGGGATGCAAAGTGGGCTTTGTGGCATTTTTGTGTTCAGTGGAAATCACCCTTGAGTGAGTGTAGCCATGTCCAAAGTAACTGAGATTTATAAAAGAGAACCAGATGCACACACAGGTTTATAACCAAAAGAATGCATCTGCACATTTCTGTCTTTGTGCCTGTGCAGAGTTTTATGGTGATGTCTGGGGCTGCTCGCTCACTCAGGCTCAAGAAACATTTACAACACAAAACCCAGGTGATTATGTGTTCTTTATGTAGACACTGACAGCAGTAACACAAAGAGGATGAGTGCCCTTCACAACAAATCTCCTTTAGTAACACAGTTGTTTTTAGTTGTTCGGTCCAGCAGGATCCTGAACGGGCCTGTGAAGTGTGTCGGTGCAGCAACGATGACCACAGGTTTAGACGTAGGCCTTGGAGCTGCTGTCTGAGGCCGGAGCCGCCCTGTAGATGTTCTGGCCTTGGCTCGTTGTGGAGAGGTTGTATGAAAACCGCCTGCAGGGATGCACAGTACAGACGCGACGTCAC